TGCACAGGCGGGGCGGCGAGTACTACTTCTCGTACTCGACCGGCGACACGCACTTCCTCTGCTTCGCGAGGGGGACGAGCCCCCTGGGGCCCTTCACCTACGGCGGCAGGATCCTGGAGCCCGTGCTGGGGTGGACGACGCACCACTCCATCGCCGAGTTCGAGGGGAGGACGTACCTCTTCTACCACGACTGCGAGCTGAGCAAGGGCGTGGATCACCTGCGTTCCGTCAAGGTCAAGGAGATCTTCTACGATGACAAGGGCGATATTATCACGACTACTTCTGATTGAGAAAATGGAGAGAAAGGGTCCTTGTCCTGGGCGGTCTGATTCACAATGTTAATAATACTATGGAATTACTTTGGACTTGCGTAATTTTCTATATACATATCAAAATTCTAGAGTTCTTGAAAAAGACGTGAGTCGTAACTATCTTCAGAGCGCGACACCCAGCCGCAGTTTCTGCAGAGCCCCTTCATACTTGGCAGGAGAGTGGTCCATCAACATGCTCGTCCCGAACCGCATCTCGCGGAACCTCGCCGGCACGTCTTTAATGTACTTCAGGACGACCCGCTGAGCAGGCCGGCCTATGCGCTCCTCGTCCGACACCAGAAACGCATCCCGCCGCAGGACCCGCTGCGACTCGACGCAAAACACCTCGCCCGGCGGGATCAACTTCTCGCAGTCCATGTTGGCCCGCATCGACTCGAGAGTGGGAAGCATCCAGGGCTCCTCACCCGTCGCGAGTGGCGGCGGCGCCGTGGAGCCGTACAGCTTGCCAGCGACGTTGTACTGGAAGGCCGCCCACATCCGCTGGCGAATCTCGGCCTTGGCGCGGTTCTCGTCCTTCTTGAACGAGAGGGCCAGGGCTTGGAAGTCGTGGAGCGTGCCCAGCGAGAGGTAGGGGACTATGTCGTTCCCATGTACCACGGTCGTAATCAGGCCGCGGCTGTTCTTGCTGAGCGCAACCGACATGGCACCGGGAGGCCCGTATGCGAAGACATGAATTGGCCGCCCGGGTGGTAAACTCGCGCCCTGGAGATTGGCACTCCGCTCTGGCCACCCTCCAGATTGCGCGCTGCTTTGCGTTTCTGACGTTGTGACAAACCCGGGTCCATCTGGATTGGGCTCCGCCATCATGATCCCAAGGAGAGAGGTGACCGAGCCACCCAGGGAGTGGCCGCAGAGGACCAGTCCATAATCTGGGAACTCACGCAGAGCCTCTTGAAGTGTGAGGAGGACCCGTCCATCCCCGCCGTATAGGATCCTTCGGGCTGAGGCATGGATTCCCTTGTGGACTTTGTAGCCACGCCCTCTCCATTCAAGACGGTCGTACTCACAGGTCAAGTCGGCCAAGACGTCCTCAAACCCCAGGGTTCCGCGGCAAGCAAGAACCACGGCCTTCGCATTGTGGTCGAGGGAGATGTAGTGTACCAGCGGAACGCCCGTGTCCGTGAATCCACTCGAATCACTACCACCCCCGTGATCCACGAAAGAGGCCAGCAAGATGCTACCCATATCAGACTCTGTGTGGTGAAGGAAATGACGAACATCATGGTGTGTTTCATCTCCCTTTGAAATGGCGGGAAGATCGTTGGAGATCCCGAGGAGCTTGAGAAACTGCGAGCCGTATGAGGCAGACGCAAACCGCATGTATCGGGATATGTTCTGCAGCAAAGGGGCGACTGGGAATGTACCCTCGACAAATCCTGCTTGGCGAAGGCTACTGAGTGCATTGGAGGTACGGTAAGCGCTCTTTTGATAATACGAAGACAAAACCACCGACATTTGGGAATCATTCGTTCCCAGACTGTAGAGGCTGTGGCGGTTTTTCTCATGATGACCCCGTTTTGGCGATGTTTGAGAGGCTTGTCCGTGGTTTAGATAACTTGTAGCCGGCCGGCTGACAGTATCATGGGTCGATACTTCAGTACGGAAGAAGGTTGGTGACGCCGCGCGCATCTCGCCGTTTGCGCGGATTGAAAATGCATCAGCTTGGGAGATGATTGAATTCCGTCGATGTTCCTGGATGGAGACGCAGCTTGCTCTCGAGGAGCTCCGAGGGATCGTCTCTGGGTCCGGATATAATTGGGATCGAGACGACGGGCGCCCATCATCCGGCTTGGTCGGGCGTATGGATGCCGCTGGCTTCAGCTTTGCATTCAGCTTTCCGCTACCGCTTGGTATCCTCCACTGCGGTTTCAACTTGCTCGACGAGCCACCAGCTTCTGATCCTGAAGACTCTCGATTCCAAATGTTCGAGATACTCTGCCCACTGCCCTTGATGACATCTCTCAGACTACCCTTCTTATCTGATGATCTCGATTCTTGAGAGGAGCTTGTGCGCTTGGTGATTTGTGGTCGCCGCCCGGTTGCGGGCGATTCTGATTTCGGCTTGGCTATGGAGCTTCGGGTTGAGGTTCTCTCTGGTGGTGCTCGAGGCCTCTTTTGATTTGCGGCATTCTCGGCAATCTGTCTCGGTGGTGTAGGTGGGCTTGGTGATTTCTCAGGTAGAGTAGGATTCGGTCTGGATGTAGACATCCGGCGCGGTGGGCCCTCAACTTTCACACGAGCAAGCGGTGGCGGTCCCACCTCACTACCAGGCTGGCAATCACTTTCAACAGACTGGGAAGATTGAGATTGGCGTCGGGGGTGAGAGGGGGATTGGAGAGGACTCGAGTATTTGATGGAAGGAAGTTCTTTTTCCTCTTCACGCCCATCAAGCTTCACCCTCGCTCCCTCGTCATCCAATTCCTCGACTTGTGGAACGGGCAACCCGTCTTCCTGCGCATGAAACTTGCTGTCCTGAAGTTTCTCCCTTTTAATTTGGTACACAACTCTAAAGGAGGGCTCCGAGTCTTGATCCTGCGATGCCCAAGAGAGACGACTGGAGGGCCGGAAACTAGTTGCTTCCACAATCTCAGCGCCCGGTGGCGTAGGAAGCATCACCGGTTCCGGGCCTTCGACATCAACTGTGATGGTCTGAACAGTGGATACCGAGTTGGAAACAGAGACTGTTGATCCGGGAGGGAGGGAAGAAGCTATCTGAAGTTTGAGCTGCTCCAACATCTCCTCGTCATCGTCCATCTTGCCAGGGGTGGGCGACAGAGGGCCTGACAAGTCTCCAAGGATCCGAGAACGGCGACGGGCATCCCCGTTTGGAACGACGGTTCGATCTGGGTGAACACCCAACTGCCCAGAATGCTGGACATCAATCCGCTCGCCATCGTCAAGAACAACAATATCCCATACGACTTCTTCAAGAGCCTGGCGACGGCGCTCGTCTTGCTTTGATTTCCAGCACTGCCCTTGAAGGTACGCAAGGGCGCTCAGGGAGAGAATCAAATCAACAACTCCGACCTTCTCCCCACTACTCCCCGTCACAGGATTGTTAAACTCGCGTCGAATCAGGGTGATGATGCTGGCAATGGCGCGTGACGGCTCGGTCGCGCCGAACAACTGGTCCAACGACGAGAGCAGGAGCTGGGAGAGGTCACTGGCCGTGGAGAGTGTTGTGCTGGTGAGCTGGAAGCTCGCCGATGTCCAAAAGACGATATGGCTTACAGCGAGATGCAGATTCTCCAGACCACGCTCGAGCACCGTCTCGGCGTCTGCTGCGGCAAACTCGGACTGCGGACCCAGAAGCATTACATCCCGACCAGCTCGAGCAAGAACACCTTCGAGCAACCCTCTGGCTACCTCCAAGCTCGACAAGGTTGTAAACCTCGCGGCATCAAGTCCGTAGGTGCCGAAGAAGGAGCCGACGCGGATAGCGAAACATGTCGAGCGCGTAGCAAAGCTGACCGCATTGGCAATGGGAGCGGGTAGGAGGGTCGGCCCCAGCTGGTGAGGCGCGCCAGTGGCCGGTGAAACGGCTGTTTGTCGATTCATAAATCTCCTTCTAGGTTCTAATAGCTTTTGATATATCCGGTGGCAAAATATCTGATGCTGACTTCATCTGCGCTGGCTGATGTAGATGAATCAATACATGGAGACTTGTGGGCAGACATGATAGAGGCGAGTCAACAAGTAGTCCAGAGGTTACGCATAACGCCAACGCATACATTTCATTTCGCCAGGAATGACTAGAGTCAATCAATCAAGGTCGCGTCCCCCCGTTCGGTTTTGTGGGAACGGAAACGCACATGGCAAGGGAAGTTTGGCATGATTAAGTGTTTGCATGTGATTGTGACGTTTGGCTTGATAACAGACCGGGTCGGTGAGCCGAAGTGAGACTAGGGCCAAACAAGCTACCCTACACCCTCCACATCTCAGGCTACCCTATAGTCTCTAGGTCCAAAGCAAACGATGAATACCAGCCGGGCCAATCTTCCCTTGCTCTAGTGCAAGTATCACATGTATGTCTCGGTATGTTTCCTCCTGATATCTGAGACTGGGTTGGAGCTAAGTCATTGATCAATTTGGATGCCTTGAATGGTATGCTCAGTGATAAGTGTGGCATTCGAATCTCGTGTGTTGATGACATGTGATAATCCATTGAGTGACAAGTAGACATAATTCAGGTCATGTCTCAAATCAACCTGACCCTCTTAGAGCCAAGAACTTGATAAAGCTTATTGAAACTTCCCAGCCTCGCCCGAAAGACACGCCGACGCAATTGCCCAATGGCGGCCTCACTGATGACATGATGCTCAAATACGAACGGAGAGTGGGGGATACCAGACCTTGGCATCTCGGAACCTGGAACTCGTGTTTCCAAGAATAGACGATGAGGCGCAGCCGACCCCTGAATCGGTGCAGTTGAGATAGATCCAGGGGCCCGCTGTGGCTGGGCACGGCCACAAGCACCCCTCCAGCAGTATCTGTCCCGCTTCAGCTAGACCTGGGTAGCTACCGATCTATTAATTATCCGCATTCAGACCGCTTTCTCAGAGCGTCAGAGCATCATCTTCTTGCCAAACGAACACCGTCACTCTCCCATTGACCTTGCTCTGCAACCTCTCAGACTTTCCCCCGTCCAATTTCGACCACCACATCGCCATGGCTGACGCTTCGCTCTTCTCCGCTGACCTCATCTCCCCTGAGGTGGCAGCAGCTCTCCCCGAGGGCTACAAGCTGCGCGCCCTCGAGAAGAGGGACTACAATGACGGCTTCCTCGACTGTCTCCGTGTCCTCACCACCGTCGGCGACTTCTCGCAGGAGAAGTACGACGCCCAGTTCGACAAGCTCAAGGCCCAGGAGAGCTACTACATCGTCGTCATTGAGGACCCCTCTCGCGTCGCCGAGGGCAAGAAGCCCATCGTCGCCACCGGCGCCCTCATCATCGAGCACAAGTTGTGAGTTGGCCCGCTTTCCATCTTCTAAACCTCCATAAAGGGGAATCACTAACGGATCGAACCCCCATGCAGCATCCACAGCCTTGGCGCCGTCGGCCACATCGAGGACATCGCCGTCGCAAAGGACCAGCAGGGCAAGAAGCTCGGCCTCCGCCTGATCCACGCCCTCGACTTCGTCGCCGAGAAGGTGGGCTGCTACAAGAGCATCCTCGACTGCAGCGAGGCCAACGAGGGCTTCTACGTCAAGTGCGGCTTCCGCAGGGCCGGCCTGCAGATGGCGCACTACTACGAGGGTGACAAGAGTAAATCTCAATGAGCCCAACCCCTCCCTTCTTCTTCTCAGACAAAACCCCCCCCTCACCCCTCCTCTCTTGGGGCCGGTAGATGTACAAGGAGCGTCTTGAATGACATTGGGTTCCTACTGCTGCATTTGGAGAGGGTTAATATTTTTTTCTCTTATTATTCGCGCCATGTTGGTGTATAGCGGCAAACTGACATGGGAGAGCGCAGGAAGTAAAATATAGAGCCGCCGGTACAGAGCTTGTTTGGATACGCAGGCTTGGGCAGGACAATGAGCGAAATAGAATAGATGTTTTTTTTTTTTTTGGATTTTCAATCGGAATAAAGTGATTCGGTACTCGCTTCGGTTTCCCTAATTTGTATGCCGGCGCGTAAGACATCGGGAACCTAATTCCCTCGCGGACTTCCAATGCGAGGTCTCAGTTGTCGTGCGATGGGCCAAGCTCGGAATTGACTTTCCGCCAACCCCATCCGGCGCGCTTTTTAAAGGCACAAGAGCCAGCATTTTCCCCAAGCTGCTTGCAGCTTTGAAACTGCTGACGTTGGACTTGGCTGAGGCTGAACATAAGCTTTGTCATCATCTCACAGTCACGGTCGCAATCATCCCAGTACGGGAAAGGAACTTCTTCATGAAAGGAGAAAAACTAATAGGGTCGCTTTTTTATTGGAAGCTCAAAACTCATTACAAGAAGAAGAAGAAAAGGTAGGTTTCCGGTCCTCTACCGCCCCATCCAGCCACCGTCAACAACCAGCGTGTGGCCGCTCACGTAGCCACTGGCCCTGCTGGCGAGGTACACCGAGGTGCCCTTGAAGTCGTCGGGGCTGCCCCACCTGGCCGCGGGGATCCTGGAGGAGATGCTGGCCAGGCGCTCGGGGTTCTTGAGCAGGGCCTCGTTCATGTCCGTCTCGATGTAGCCGGGGGCGATGGCGTTGACGGTGATGCCGCGCGAGGTCCACTCGTTGGCGAAGGACTTGGTGACCTGGCCGACGGCGCCCTTGGAGGCGGCGTAGGCGGGCACGGTGAGGCCGCCCTGGAAGGTGAGGAGGGAGGCGAAGTTGATGATGGAGCCGACGCGGCCCGTCACGGGCGAGGGCTCGAGGGTGAGCATGTGGCGGCCGACGTCGCGGCACAGGGAGAAGACGGAGTTGAGGTTGACCTGGATGACCTCGTTGAAGTCGCTGTCGGGGAAGTCCTCGCAGGGGTGCCGGCGCTGGATGCCGGCGCAGTTGACGAGGATGCGGACCTGGTGGCCGTCGGCCAGGATCTTGGGGGTGAGGGCGGCGACCTGCTCGGGGGATGAGATGTCGGCCGTGTAGATCCAGGCCTTGCGCCCGAGCTTCTCAACGGCCTCCTTGGTGGCTGTAGCCGTGGTGTCGCGCTGTAAAGCCCGCCGTGTTAGCTGTCTTCTGCATCTCCTGTAGGAAACAAGACGACGGAATTCGTAGCGTAGAGGCTCTCACCTGAACCAGAATGATATCAGCACCGGCCTCAGCAAGGCCAATGGCAACCGCCTGGCCAATGCCACGAGTACCACCCGTGACGACGGCAGTATGGTCCTTGAGCGAGAAGAAGTCGGCCATTTTTGCAATCGGGGAAGCTTCACCTGCGACGAGATTTGCGAAGGGGAGGGAGGGGGAGAGTGAGGAAGGAAAAGGAGGTGAAGTAATAGAGGAGACGAATTGAGGGAGCTCTCGACGTGATTTACTGGTTGAAGAAGGCTTCACAAGGAGTAGTCCGACCAGTCTCCGAAAGTGGGACCGCACTTTTCGGAGGGCGCCCCAGGCCGTACTGAATGATCCATTCACAAAACCATTGAGAGCCGACTGCATATAGCTACGGACGGCTAGCGAGGCCCTGCCAGAGGCCCTTGCCTTAGTCTATCCGTCACGCGCAGCTGCAAATCTGCTCTCCAGAGCCCTGTAGCTTGCCTCGCCGCCGAAAAAAAACTGCCCCGCCATGACGAGCTGCCCCTCACCACTGCCCCTCGCCGGGCGCACATACTGCATTTGGGCCGTGCTATTTGGGGGAGAAATCGGCTGAGTCGCTAGCTTCCAGCGGGGTCGGAGACTGTGGGGGCCTGTAAATGCTCCAGTGGCGGGCAGCCAGTGAGCGGGTTACAGGCTGCCCACGAACTCCACAGCAGCGCGGAATTGGGACAATTGGGAAACTCCCACCGCCCCGACCACTTGGAAATCGTCGGCTCGCCTTGGTCAATTGGGCGCTAATAGGTCCTCGGGACCTTCAATGGCGTCTCTGCTCTTCATGCTGGTGGCCCGACGTCAGTTAGTGGCAGGGGGCAACGCGCAGCTTTATCCGCTCCTGGTGCCGGTTTCGGGAAAGTCGTTGCTTTCTCCGACAGGTTGAGCTGCCTCCAACTTTCTCAAAAATCATTTGCAAGAAGGGAAACCGGAATTGAAAATCTCATTCGTGTCATTGGCGTTGCTGTAGAGAGGCATACCGTCTTTTGTATTATTTCGTCCTTCACCCAGGTCTGCTGCCGCTCGCTCTGATCACCGCCACGACTTACACACACGCATCCCACCTCATCTCACGTCTCTGCCCATCATGTGTCCCACGCACGTTCAAGCTTCCGTACTCCACGGCGAGCGCGACATTCGGATTGTAAGTAAATCTCATGAATTGAAACATCTCCAAGCTTGCCTGACACCTCCACCCTTCTCCTCGTGTAGCAAGACCGAGAGCTCTCCGCCCCCTCCAGCAACGAGGTCCAGGTCCGCGTCTCATCCACCGGCCTCTGCGGCTCCGACTTACACTACTACAACCACTACCGCAACGGCGACATTCTTGTCCGCGAGCCTCTCACCCTGGGCCACGAGTCCAGCGGCACCGTCGTCGCTGTCGGCGATGGCGTCACTGACCTGGCCCCCGGCGACCGCGTCGCTCTCGAGGTCGGCCAGCCCTGCGAGGCCTGCGAGTACTGCCAGTCCGGGCGCTACAACATCTGCCGTGGCATGAAGTTCAGAAGTTCGGCCAAGGCCTTCCCCCACGCCCAGGGCACCCTGCAAGAGAAGATCAACCACCCTGCCCGGTGGTGCTACAAGTACGTTGGCCGCGACGGGAGAAGAAAATCCCATCCTCTAGTAAAAATCCAAGAGCAAGATGCTAACAACGTGCCCCAACTAGGCTGCCCGCCGAGGTCTCAAGCGACCTGGGAGCTCTGATCGAGCCTCTCTCCGTCGCCATGCACGCCTTCGACCGCGCAGCCCTCCCCCCCTCACCCACCGTCCTCGTCTTCGGAGCCGGCGCCGTCGGTCTCCTGGCCGCCGCGGTCTCCAAGGCCAACAGCGCCCAGACCGTCGTCATCGCGGACATCCTCAAGGACCGCGTCGACTTCGCCGTGACTAATGGCTTCGCCGACGCCGGCGTCGTCGTCCCCATGGCCCGCCCCCAGACCATCGACGAGAAGCTCGCCTACGCCCGCGAGGTCTCCGAGACCATCAAGGCCACCAAGGTCAACGGCCAGGAGGTCGGCGAGGTCACCGTCGTCTACGAGTGCACCGGCGTCGAGACCTGCGTGCAGACCTCCATCTACGTAAGTTTCCCTGAATAGGTCAAAACGCGCGCGAACAAAAGCTGACGTCTGACTGCAGTCCGCCAAGCCCGGAGGCAAGATCATGATCATCGGCATGGGCAACCCCATCCTCACCCTGCCCATGTCCGCCGCGGCGCTGCGCGAGGTCGACCTCGTCGGCGTCTTCCGCTACGCCAACACGTACCAGCGCGCCATCGAGATGCTCTCCAAGCCCCCGAAGGCCCTGCCCGACCTGACCAAGCTCATCACGCAGCGCTTCACCGGCCTGGACCACATCCAGGACGCCTTCAAGATGGCCGGGCAGATCAAGGACGCGGACGGGAATCTGGTCATCAAGGTGTTTATCGAGCTGCCCGAGTCGTCGTGAGATTGTTGCAGAAAAAAAAATTAGCATGGGAATGAGTTATGAAGTAAAAGAGAACCAGAGCAGCACAATAAAAAAAACAGAGATAATGTTGTTGAAAGAAATAAAAGTAAAAGGACCCTTGGCACTGTCAGCGTGACATTCTTCCCGAAGCAGATCAGTCCGACAGGGTGTGAGTGTGATTCTACGCACCTCGCCGTCTTGAGGCAACATGGCGCGAGTTAGGGGCAGGACGAAGGGTTAAGTGAGACCGAGTGAGAGTGAGGGCATGGATGACGTCGCGAGTTGGAACCCCGGCCATCACTTCATTGAACTGAGGTTTTTTTCGTTTAAAATTACTTTGTTTTTATTTTTTACTATTTATTTGCAGATTTTTAATTGTCCCATGCCATTTTTCTACCAGAGCTCTAAAAAAACATAGAAAAACCACTCCATCTATTGCTTGTCGGGGAATCCAAAGTTGATACCAAAAGGTGGGTAGACGAAGCGCTTCCACTCCTTCTTGGCGACAATGTCGCTGGAGTAGTCGTCCAGCGACTTGGTGTCCTCGGCGCTCAGGTTGACGATTTCGCGGTTGGCAGTGATGCGCGAAGGAGTAACGGACTTGGGGAGGACGGTGTGTCCGCCGGCGACTGGATGGTACAGTTAGTCGATATTGCTCTGATTGAATGTTACATAGGTGAGGACTTACCCTGCCAGCTGATGAGGATGGTCTGCGGGGTGACCTTGTACTTCTCGGCGAGCTTCACCACAGGCTCGGCTTCGGCGACGGGGCTGCCCGTGCTGCCTAGAGGGCTGTAGGCCATGATGTGAATGCCCTTTGACTTGGCGAGCTCGGTGATGTCGGACTGGGGGAGCCAGGGGTGTCTTTCGATCTGGTTGACGGCGGGGAGGATGGTAGCATTGTCGATGACCTTCTGCAGGTAGCTCTTGCTGTACTGTTTTGTGGTTTCTGTTAGTTAAGAGGCCAGGATCGAATGAGAATTGGGGGGCAGACATACGTTGCAGACACCGATGGACCTGACCTTGCCGGCCTTGACGACAGCCTCCATCTGCTTCCAGGCCTCGAGGTGATCCCACCCGTGGATGACATCCCGG